AAGTAATTTATTCCTCACCAGTACCTGACCTTAGTAGGGCCTTATGATTTCCGCAATCACGGACGGAATTGCGGAATTGGCCAATGGGCTACATGCACGCATAAGTTCCGCATTTGACGCAAGAATGCTCGTTCATTTCCGGTTGTGGAGATTAAAGCGGAGGAAAACCGGAGAAAACGGGATTATGGCAGAGTCTTCAAAATTTACTGTCCTCCCATCTTTGAAACGAAACGTACATACGTTTAGATGTAATTTTATATATAGTTATGTTTATTTAATATAATTTTAAAAAGAAGCATAAACACAACGAGGGGTGTCTGTTTTATCTGTTTTTGTGACTAACGTTTCTTTAGTATAACCATGGAGTATAAAATTCAATATAAATTCTCGGTATTGCATTGGACTCTACGATCGGCGGAAGTTATCGAGCATCCTTACACCTTCACCGGAAATACCGCCGTGCATAGAGCCCATTGACGCGGAATCTAGTGTTAATGTGGAATTTTACATATTTGGTTTGAAATTCTGCTTTTGTGTGGGAGTTACTCTAATCAATGATCAGCACTATCATTGTTAAAGCTCCATTCTTACAGATCATTAACTAAAAAAGTTGGTTTATGGTTTAGTTAGTTACCCTTTAATAAACACATCAAACTTACAAAACATTGAGTCAAACAAGTTCTGTAACTTTAAAAAGGAATAAGCTACAACTTCTGTAAAAATGAATAGATGAAATATAAATAAAATAAAGTGTGCTCCTGTTTTACAGCTTTTCGATGATGTTCACGTCGCGTAATTACGTCACTTCATAACGTTCCCATGGCAATGGGGGAAATGGCTGCTCTTGTGTGAAGCAAACGCAACATTTCTGCTAATATATATGTGACTTTTTTGCAATGAAAATGCAAGGATTATGAAATCATACAAGCATATTTTGCACAGAAATCGGCAATTTATGCGTCAAAAGTGTGGCATATTTGAAAAAATGTGGCCCCCGCATGAACATGCGGCCTTTGGCTGATCATGCACTAAATCATGAGATCGCATAATCGCGTTTTTCTGGAGGCACTGACAAACTACATCCACAGTCAAAAACAGCCATTGTGTTTTATCTGTTTTGCACATTAACGCCTCTACAGAGATGCGCTGGAAAAACAGCACCTTCAAGGCATTTTTTACACTTTAATGTAGACAGTAGAGAGAGAGAGAGAGAGAGAGAGATGAAAATAATAATAAATACATTGAATTCAATTTCTCATGCTAATGGTCAGTAAAACATGGAACAGCAGAGTGGAAAAGACATTTAACTCACTTCTGCAGCCACTCGATGATCTTGTCTTTGCTCCGAAGTTGAGGAAGCGTGTACTTCTCCTCGCCCTTTTCAAAGTACTTCACTGTGGGAAAGCCTGAGATTTTAAAGCGCTCTCCGATGGACTTGTGAATGGTGGTATCCACTGCTGCCAAAGCACCTGGGCTCTAACCATATACATACATAAATAGAGAAAAAAAAAACACTATTTACTAAGTTTCAGCTTAAAAACAACACTACATGTTATCTAACAGCTGATTAATAAAAATACATAAAGATCATAAAAAAACATAGATAGTACACGATGTTGGACATTGTTGGTCCATATGTTTAAAAAAAAACTTGTGCAAACTGATCATTTTCAATGTGATCGACGCGCCACACAATTTAGAGATGCTAATTTTTAATCCAAATCACTCTCTAAAAACTTTCCAGCAATTATGGAAATCATTAAGTTTCAAATGTCTACGCACAACTTAATTAAAATCATGAGGCTACATAATTTGAGAACAGAGCAAATTGTCACTTTAATACTGATTGTGATCTGTGGTTGAAGGGACCTCCTGTAGGTAAAGTAGATGAGATGCATAATTATTCAACAATTTCAAAAGCTCAGGAGAGGAGAGTGAGAATACAGCCATCAATTATCTCAAATTCAAGTTAAAAAGTTACATTTTAAAACCATTTTCTGTATATCTAAAGATAGAATATATGTCTGTGTCTTTATATCGAACTGATTTTAAAATGTTTGGGAAAGTTAACACGTTAATTCATGTGATTTGAAAACAACGACAACAAAAAACAATAATTTGATTTGGGTGCATTTCGAGAAATGATATCACATCTATTATTTTTTTTTTCTGCGAGTGGGATACAAAGACCACCACTGCATAAATAATAGGGCTATCAAACGATTAATCACATCCAAAATAAAAGTTTGTGTTTACATAATATATGTGGGTGAACTGTGTATAATTATTTTATATATATAAATACACACACATGCATGTATATTTAAGAAAAAAATATTATTTATATATAAAATATTCATATATAATATACATTATATATAAATCTATATACATGAAAATATTTATTAAATATATACAAGCATGTGTGTGTATTTATATATATATATATATATATATATAATTATACACAGTGCACCCACATATATTATGTAAACACAAACTTTTATTTTGAAAGTGATTAATCAAGATTAATCGTATATCAGCCCTAATATATATATATATATATATATATATATATATATATATATATATATATATATACCATACAAATTGCAGAAAATTATATTTACACAAAGGCCAAATGTTATAGACAGATTTATGCTTTTACAGCCCCAGTTTAAACGCAATCAATTTGTGGAGACAACAAACTAGTCATTTAAATGAATTGACAGCACAACTTGGCACAGCTTTGTTCCTGCCATTATAGATGCAGAATGGATTGTCATTATGAATGTTTCCTCAGCTTAAACTTAATTAACTGCCTCTATTTGCAAACATCTGACAGTGGGATACCTTAAATCTATAATGAGAGCCTGAGACATTATCACAAACAAAGGATTTGTGTTTGAGTTGAGGCACCAACCCTGCAGGGGCCAAATAATCTATGGACAACTATTGGATCTGTGAGCCAATTAGAAGTGTATGCAAACCAAACTGTTTGACAAACAATACACAAACACTTCTCATTAAAGTAACGGAACTGCATTTCAACAACACACTTGAGAGATAAGCACGGCCGCTTCAATTTCTCCACCATCCACTTGCAAAATGTCATGTTCGCAACCCAGTCATACAGTATATGCACATTTAAACACCCTTATTCCAAACTCTCAGCGAGATGCAAATTCAAAACATTTTTCACAAGTGGACTCTCTCTTTAAACTGTGTGTATGGCCGAGAGCAAATGGAATGAGAAAAAATAAATGACTTCAGCTCTCTCAAGGGAGAAGATGTGAGGACTAGAGCATGCATTAGATAATGCATAACGTGTCGTTATTGAACTCTGGGAAGAGCATCACTCCGAGTAGCTCCAAGCTGAAGGCTAGAGGGACGGCACAGAGGAAAGGGGAAATGAGATAAATATTCCAACTCTAAGGCTCTGGTCTCTGCAGTTGGCCTGCAACTGTGGACTAGAGAGCAGAGCCAGCGCAGCGGACAGCCCTGGAAAATGAGAAACACACCACTCGCACAACATGGCCAGAGAAGATGTTTGTGAACTGTAATTGTCTCATGTTGAAACTTTAAAGCTTAATAAAAACCACCATATCATGGGAGGCCAGACATTTTGAATCGAAAGTTTGTTGAAAAGTAAAACATTATATTGGGATTTGCCACAGGGTGTTATTAAATTGCCTAGGATGATGGGAAATTACAATTGGCTTTTTCCAATCAAGTCAATTGGACACAGACTTTTTACAAGGAAAGCCTCCGAGTAAAAAATGGCACATCTAGAACCATTTCATTAAGTACACAGGTGCTATCCTGCCTCTAAGTTCTCTCTTGCGAAGTCTAAGGAGGTATGAGTTTTACAACAAGCAAATATGCCATCTCCATGTCAGAGAATTAGTATAAAGAAACTCACATCTGGGTCTTTGTTGAGGATCTCAGCAGCTTCATCATACTCTGGCTTCATCTTCTTACAGTGGCCACACCCTAAAGACCATCACAAGGAAGAAAAATGTTAACATTAGCACGCAACCAAAAAAAGTTTGAGAATCAAAAATGTTTCCACAAAATGTATACAGTAGGGCTGACACAGCTTCACTCTGCTTTCTAGATTGAGCACAAATTATGCAATTAATTGTAATTTTTTATTCTAATGACAGCATTCGTTTTTTAACAGTATGAAAAAATAAACAAACAAGCATGTAGTTCTGTGAAAGATTTTGTTTAACTAAACAAATGTAAGCTACAGTTCAAAAGTTTTTTATTCAGCAAGGATACATTAAATTAATCAAAAGCGACAGTAAAGATTTTTACATCAATGCAAAATTTGATTTCTGATTTCAAATCAGTGTCGTTCTTTTGAATGTTCTCTTCATTCAAGGAATCCTGAAAAACATGCATCACAATTTCCACAAAAATATTAATCTGCGTGTCAGAAAATCAAACCAGAGCGTATCAAACCATACCAGAATGATTTCTGAAGGATCATGTAATACTGAGTAATGGCTGCTAAAAAATTCAGGTTTGCCATCATAGGATTAAATTGCATTTTAAAATATTTAAAATATTAAATATCATATTAAATATAAAATATCAAAACATTTCGAGATTAAAAGTCGAAACGTTTCTAGAATGAAGTCGAAACGTTTCGAGAATTAAGTCAAAACATTTCGAGGTTGAAGTCGAAACATTTCGAGATTGAAGTCGAAACATTTTGAGATTAGTTGACACATTTCGAGATTGAAGTTGAAACACCTCGAAACCTTTCGACTTTGACCTCGAAACCTTTCGACTTTGACCTCGAAACCTATCGACTTTGACCTCGAAACCTTTCGACTTTGACCTCGAAACCTATCGACTTGACCTCGAAACCTTTCGACCTTGACCTCGAAACCTATCGACTTTGACCTCGAAACCTTTCGACTTTGACCTCGAAACCTTTCGACTTTGACCTCGAATCCTTTCGACTTTGACCTCGAAACATTTCGACCTTGATCTCGAAACATTTCGACTCTCGAATTAGCTAGATTTATTTTTTCAGATTTATTTATTTTTTTCCGTTGCGGTTCAGGGCTTCTGTAGTTTATACATCAAAACATTTAGAAAACCCTGCTGTAAATGATTGGCCACAGGTGGTTTGATGCCTGGCCTTCTTGGATTGATTTAAAAAGGTTTGGCTCAAACTGGAAGACCAGCTAAACACTAACAAACCATCTTAGGCCGGTTTAAGCTGTTTTTTCTTCCAACAGGGCTGTCATACATAATTGACATAGCATGAAAACAGCAGAAACTCAATATCCATATGTGACTACAACATGAAATGATCAGAATCAGCATTCATCTGGAAAGAAATTATATTTCTCTTCCAAGTATTTAAAGATATTCCTTTCCAATTCTCCATCTGTTACATAATCAAAACAGCCTTTCCAGTAAACGTAAGCCAGAGCTGTCATGGTTGGATTTATTATGCATTTATTTACACTATGGGAATATGAAAAAATGTGATTTACAAATGTGTTTGCATTTTTGCTAAGAATGATGCAACAGTTTTTTTTTTTTTTATTAATAGAAGTGATGCATGAAATTTGCACACTGAAGGAGGGTGTCGGTATCCATTGTGTCTCGTAGTTAATCAGATGCAGAAAAAAGGGTAATTTTTTTCACCTAAATCAGCAGGGTCGATTATGTGTGTTGAGAGGAAAAACCGATGTTGTCATTGACATGATGATGTCTCTGTGAATGTGAACCGAGGTTTGTGTCTAAACAAGGATATTGCATTTGGTCTAGCTGATGAGAATGAGAACGAGAGAGAACGAGTCATTCCGTACCTTCTCCATGTATTCATGTGGAGAGTTTGTGAATATACTACAGGATCAGTAGCAGATTGGTTTGATACACCCTGTACCGTACAGGAAATGAATATGTTCTATCAGAGGTGTTTGATCAAAAATGTATGAAACCTGAGAGCCATCTTCCTTCAATTCACTATAAAAGCAACCTCCCAAGAAACTGAAATACTACCGACATGCTCATATCAGCAAATCTGTGTTTGGCAGAAACTGAAATACTACCGACATGCTCATATCAGCAAATCTGTGTTTGGCAGATTCATCTGAGAATAAAATTGATAGACAAAAACATCAGCAGCACACAAGTGCAATTCCACCATGATAAATATTTTCTTTGTCTGTCCTTGAACTCCTAATAAGACTTAAAAAATGACTGGTAATGATCCTCATACCATAAAATATCCATGTACCCTACAATGATTGTACATGACACTCCAATGTACTTCAAACAGTACTATGAATCTACCTTAGAATGTGTGCGAACTTGATTAACAACTTTCTTGCCAACATAATTCTAACAAGTGAGGATAGTTCACCCAAAAATTAAAACTATGTCATCATTTACACACCCTCATGTTGTTACAACCCTGTAGGATTTTCTTGCTCTTGTGGAACTCAAAAAAGTAGGGCTGTCAAACGATTAATCGCGATTAATCGCAACCAAAATAAAAAAGTGTGGGTGCACTGTGTATAATTATATATATATATATATATTCATATATAAATAAATAACACACACATGCTTGCATATATTTAAGAAATATTTCCATGTATATACTGTACATAGATTTATATATAATTTATATAATATATAAATATAAATATTTTATATATAATTAAAATTTTGTTTCCTTAAATATACATGCATGTGTGTGTATTTATATATATACAAAATAATTATACACTGTGCACCCACATATATTATGTAAACACAAACTTTTATTTTGGATGCGATTAATCGCAATTAATCGTTTGACAGCCCTACAAAAAAGGTAGATGTCACTGGCTTCAATTGATCAGGAAGGAATGAAGTAATTCGGAATTAAGGAATTATGGAATGACAATTTGAATTTTTAAGTGCACTATCCCTTTAACTACCCCTAAATTTAAATGTCATTCAAGTCCCAAGCCCAGCTCTAAACCGAACCCTAACATCTTATTGGTTGATAGACACAGTATATTCTTCGAGGAACAATAAAGATGATAATTGTAAAAATCAGTCCCCATGACCAGCAAGAGCCGTGTTGTGAATACTCACAGGGAGCGTAGAACATGACCAAGGCTGAAGGATGCTCCTGTAGGAACGTGTCAAAAGAATCATCGGTAAGATGGAAGACCGCTGAGCTGGACTCTGACCAGGGCACCTCTGGAGTTTTAGGCTGTGGAGGCTGAGGGCTACGCAACATAAACACAAGTAGTTAAAATCATTTCCATTAGTCAATATGTTTTTGTTGTCTCAAAGCCCATGTACATCATGACTCAGCTAATGACTAATGAGAGTCACCTAAGCTCTTAGTTGGACACTGCCAGTACACATCAGTACACTAAATCTGGTGGGGAACGGTCACACCCACATAGACTGAGCCTGTAATTCACATCTGTCTCCTGATGGGCGCTGTGCCCATACAAGAACAGTCCAAATGATTCCCTCGCAGAGTGCAAAGAGTCAAAAGCTTGGCTCTAGAAGTGCGTCAGCTGAACAAAGACTAGCCTGAGGGAGCTTTCAGTGGGTAAAATGCACTAAATGGTTGGGTTTGCGAACGTTTTTCCTTTTCTTCATTCAAAATTAAGTACACTGAATGGTTGGGTTTGCTAGAGTTGTCACTTTACTTTAAGGGAGGGCGATCTGACGATTTTGATCGATCTTGAAGACGGCCATGATCTGTTTTTCAAGCAAATCGTGGACATCACGATCTTTTATGTCCTCAAAATAATGTTAAAACAACAAAAATGACTGCCTAATACACTCACCGGCCACTTTATTAGGTACACCTGTCCAACTGCTCGTTAACACTTAATTTCTAAGCAGCCAATCACATGGCGGCAACTCAGTGCATTTAGGCATGTAGACATGGTCAAGACAATCTCCTGCAGTTCAAACCGAGCATCAGTATGGGGAAGAAAGGTGATTTGAGTGACTTTGAACGTGGCATGATTGTTGGTGCCAGAAGGGCTGGTCTGAGTATTTCAGAAACTGCTAATCTACTGGGATTTTCACGCACAACCATCTCTAGGGTTTACAGAGAATGGTCCGAAAAAGAAAAAACATCCAGTGAGCGGCAGTTCTGTGGGCGGAAATGCCTTGTTGATGCCAGAGGTCAGAGGAGAATGGCCAGACTGGTTCGAGCTCATAGAAGGGCAACAGTGACTCAAATAACCACCCGTTACAACCAAGGTGGGCAGAAGAGCATCTCTGAACGCACAGTACGTCGAACTTTGAGGCAGATGGGCTACAGCAGCAGAAGACCACACCGGGTGCCACTCCTTTCAGCTAAGAACAGGAAACTGAGGCTACAATTTGCACAAGCTCATCGAAATTGGACAATAGAAGATTGGAAAAACGTTGCCTGGTCTGATGAGTCTCGATTTCTGCTGCGACATTCGGATGGTAGGGTCAGAATTTGGCGTCTACAACATGAAAGCATGGATCCATCCTGCCTTGTATCAACGGTTCAGGCTGGTGGTGGTGGTGTCATGGTGTGGGGAATATTTTCTTGGCACTCTTTGGGCCCCTTGGTACCAATTGAGCATCGTTGCAACGCCACAGCCTACCTGAGTATTGTTGCTGACCATGTCCATCCCTTTATGACCACAATGTACCCAACTTCTGATGGCTACTTTCAGCAGGATAATGCGCCATGTCATAAAGCTGGAATCATCTCAGACTGGTTTCTTGAACATGACAATGAGTTCGCTGTACTCAAATGGCCTCCACAGTCACCAGATCTCAATCCAATAGAGCATCTTTGGGATGTGGTGGAACGGGAGATTCGCATCATGGATGTGCAGCCGACAAATCTGCGGCAACTGTGTGATGCCATCATGTCAATATGGACCAAACTCCCTGGGGAATGCTTCCAGCACCTTGTTGAATCTATGCCACGAAGAATTGAGGCAGTTCTGAAGGCAAAAGGGGGTCCAACCCGTTACTAGCATGGGGTACCTAATAAAGTGGCCGGTGAGTGTAGATGGCTGTGCTGATTGGCCAAATTATATCAAGCGTCTTTCATGCCTGGTGACCATTTTGACAACTGAATCTATAATTTGATGCTGTTTCTCTAATTGCACAAAGAGAGAAATCCATAGGCTTGTTCCAGTCTGGATATTCTCTACATCTCAACATTGGGGAGATTTGTACATCTCAAGATTGTGATTCAGATCGTGGATTGTGATTATGTGTTATAGTATCGTAACTTCATTTTTTGGGAAGATTGCCCACCACCCCTACTTTACTACATTCAAATTTAATTCTACAAGACAAGCCAGGGACATCTGCAAGTGTTTTGAGAGCAGGAAGTCACAATTGGAATCTCTTAACATGCACTTGTATTAGTCAATCAACTGCAGCTGTCTATGGGTATAGTTTATGTGATTGCAATAATGATTTTCTGTTTCTCAAAAACTATAGACCACCCACAGTCCCTACACTGGCTGACTCATGGGTATACAGCACACAAAATATGATAAGAGCAGACTGAAAACGCTAGTTTCAAACGAATTGGTTAGCAATATTTAATTGTGTTCATATACTTTTGAGTGTTTATAATGTACTTTTGTGTGTTTATAGTGTCAAATATTTGAAATACTACTGTTCAGTTTAGGTTCAAAAGAAGTCTCTTATGCTCACCAGGCTGCATTTATTTGATCAAAAATACATTAAAAATATTGTGAAATATTATTACATATTAAAATATATTTAAAATAAAATGATTTAATATATTAGAAAATGTCATTTATTCCTGTGATGGCAAAGCTGAATTTCCAGCAGTCATCACTCCAGTTTCAGTGTCACATGATCCTTCAGAAATCGTTCGCCAAAACTTTTGAACTACTGTGTATTTTTCCATTCGCAAACCAGATTTCTTTTCATGCTGGAAATTATTTTATGATATTAAATTACACAACAATACAAAACAAGCTGTGGTTGGCCTTGTGACATATTGGTCAAACAGTCCAATTCGCCTTTTGCTAAGCCACGCCCTATAATGTAGATTGACCAATCACAGTGCAGCCAAGAACGAGCTCTCACAGAGGTCCGACACTTTGGGTGCGTTCTATTATACCCAACGAACCAACTCGGCCCTCGGATTTGACGTCACGCGTCAAAGACTTCAAGCGTTCTATTATGTTTTGCGTGTCCGAGTCGGAGAAAAAAATGGACGCCACCCGGAAAGCTGTTATAATGGTAGCACTGGCCGAGTGACTAACCTTACTCGGCCAGTGCTACCACGGCCGAGGCACTAACCTTAAAAATTTATATTATGACTACACCTTATCAAAACACAGCCATTTGAACTTGAAAATGTTCACTTTATTTAATATTTTTCATGTTAATATTCTGTTTGCAACGCTAACAACGTTAGTAATTGCACTCACAACAACCGATTCCCATACCTACAGGGGACGCAGTAATACGAGTGATTATAATTGTCATTTAAAATACCAAAGCGGTTCAAAAACAATGAAAACAATTCATTCTTACAAGTCACAGGGCGCAGCCATCTTGAATTCCAAAACGAAATTCTTGCTCGGTGTCCTCACGGTTGTTCGACGTCCGAGAGGAGAAATCCGAGGAAAGGGGGCGTGTTGCTAGGCAACGTCTGTCATCTGATTCGGATCTCCGAGACGGATGAATAATAGAACGAATTATTTTTCACAGTGCTCCATTGACTTTCAACACAGGCGTCTCATATTTTTGGTCTCGGCAGGCCATTACCATCGTAGTTTTATCAAAAATATGGTTAAACGTTGTGCCTCGGGCATTTGCAACACAGATACGCGTTTCCCAGAGAGGTTGGAGGGGGGTGTCCGTTTTTCCCCTTCCCAAAACCGAAGTCAAATCCTGACAAGTGTCGTGTTTGGATTAAACTGTATGGACGTCCTGTCAGCTAAACCCCTCAAAGATCAACAAGCACATCTTTTTTGCTTCTAACCTTACTGTGAATTTATACTAGTTAGACCGTTTCATAATGTTTTAGGTTATGATTTCGGTTCTCATACCGGTTGTTGATACGCTAGCACACACTGCTAATAAGTACAACGTTATACTCGTATAGTCCGTTTGCTTTGTAATAACGATTATAGAAATGAATAGAGACCTACCCAGCTTTGCATGAACAGTGTTGCTCCCTGATATTGTTAGTCCCAGCCTCCGTCTCGATTAGTTAGATATGCGGGGGTTCATTTTTTGACTGTGAATTTTGCCTCTATTTGGATGCCTTGTTGTTTCATGTGTTTCACCTGTATGTATTGAGTATAGCCTTCAAACGCATATTGCAGCCCCTTTTGCCTACTTCTGTCGGACACTTTATTTGCAGCTACATAAAAGTTTGATGACATTTCAGCAGGAAGAGCTGTTACAGCATAAGCCATGTTGATACCAAACCAGAGCCCAGATGAAGTTTGACGGACGTAGCAACAGTAACTAAGGGGGGCGGGGCTTAGCCAAAGGTAAATTGGGAAGTTACTGACCAGAATAAGTGCATTGGCCAGACTAGACAACAATAAAAATGCTCAGGTTATACTAGGCTACAAACAAACTATTATTGTGCCTTGTTATAGCACTCAATTCAAAACTTTAACAATGCAAATATTGCTCAGTACACAACATGAATGTTCTGGAATATTAAACATGATCTGGTTCTTGACCTGTAATATACAGCATCAGAAAAATATGTTTTTTGTTGCTAGACAAAATATTGGAACACTGCATGACAGGATGATTCATGCAATTCATAAATGACATGTTGCATTGCATGCGCAGCTCTAGTGCAGTTAATCTCAGAGAAGTGTATACAGGCTGTCACTCTGTCAGTTTGATAGTTGGTTAAGAAACTGCAGAGAGCTTAAAGTCTCATCACATCTCTGTTAGGAGGCACAGAGGACTGTTTACGTCCAGTGTTTTACAGTGCACACCATTTATTTCACAACCTAGATAATGGTGGAGAACGTGGGCAGAAGTCTGAGATGTCACACCTCTTAAAAACATGGGGATTCTTTACAGCTTTTAAGATAGTAAAGCGTGTTAGAATGAATGAAGAGAGGCTGTGTGTTTTTGTTGAAAGCTGAAAAACAGTGCAGATTATTTATTGACTCACTTTTTCAACCAGTCAGCGATGTCTTTGGAGGTGGCTCCATAATTCTCATAGTGATGCAAGAATTTCCCCTTCCTTTTTGGAAAAAGAACAAAAAAGGACAGAAAAAATCTTTGGTTAATCAAACTGGCTGAGGAAATCCAAACAAAAACACATCATTTTGCAAAAACAAAGCAAACTGTACAACATTTTCACCAATAGAGGGTGTGCACACATGACATCACCGTCAACCGAAGTGGGTCACCAACTGATGGGCAAAAAGATTGACTGGCAACATTGGTTTTGGCGTGAATGCCGCAAACACCCACAAAACACATCTAGAACAGGAAAGAGCTTTGCTATTGACTGTTCAAATAGATTTGACAAGAAATCTGATGTATTTTTCACAGACTGTCGAAAGCTACAGAAAAGAGAAGCAATGGTTCGCTGCAATTCAAAGAAACATCCCTGGCGTCAAAATTTGGCACATAAAAATGTCAGGAAACACGATTTCTGGCTGCATGTCAAAATCCATGGATCACTGGATCTTTGGTAAGTTGTAAGGAACACTATAGATTCCAACCTTTAGTTTAAACGGATAATTTGTTTTACCCGCATTTTCCCAGTTTCCCCTATTAAGTTCACTTTGAAATTAATTTTTGGTATGTTTTAGCTTACCCTCAAGGGCATCCAAGATGTAGATGTCTTTGTTTCCGCAGTATTTTCAATTTTGATATTTTTAGGTCAAACCGTTCTTGTCTGTCAGTCATATAAGGGAGGTATATGGGGTCCACCTCAAAGATCATGGTCAGAGAAGTCCAAATTAAACACGATGACTCGTAAATGTAAGTACACATTGATGGCCTAAGACACGAAACGAGCGGTTTGTGTGAGAAAACAAACAGTATTTATATCGTTTTTACCTCTTGTAACCACAGTCACGTCCAAGTGATCAGAAGGCACAGGCGCTTCGGTCTGAGCAAGCGGTTGCAAAAAAACCCAAAAAAACTATATAAATACTGTTTGTTTTCTCACACAAACCGCTCGTTTTGTGTCTTAGGCCATCAATGTGTACTTACATTTACGAGTCATTAAATCATTTATAATTTGGACTTCTCTGTGCATGCTCTTTGAGGAGGACCCCATTTACCTGCATTATATGACTGACAGACAACAATGGTTTGACCTAAAATATCAAAATTGAAAATACTGTGGAAACAAAGACACCTACATTTTGGATGCCATTGAGGTAAGCTAAAACATATAAAAAATGTATTTCAAAGTGAACGATCCCTTTAAAGCCAGCCATGTTGCATGTTTTTTGAGAGGCTGCTTACATTTAGCTCCTCCTCAGGTGTACAGTAAATGTAATTTGTGACTAATGGATGGAGCTACAATATCCAACCACACCCTAACCCTACCCACAACTATATCCTTCAACCCCATTAGACATCCAGAGAGATGAGCTGATGTCATCGTCATTGCAGCGAATACCACTTGGGCTTTTTTGTCATTCAGTGGGGCTGCGTCTTCTGGCAGGAAAGTGATGTAAATGCACACCCTTCTTTTAAGGGGGTAAGTTTGTAAGATCAATAACTCCAGACCAATCCAGGCAGATCGTGTCCTATCACGATCCCATTACTTCCTGTCCTCTCTCTACAGTCTGTATAAAAATATGGCCAGAAGTTTGTAAAATAGAAAGTTTGATTTTTAAGCTGTTAGCATTGATTTACAAAAAGAAAACAGTTCAAATCTTGCCTTCTTTCAAAAAAAGGACATCCTAAGTGGGAGAAGTCAATATTTATTAGCACTTATTTTCTTACCATAAATTGCAGTAGACAGCTTAGGATGTTTGTACAAAAAAGACGCAAGGCATCCAAGACCACTGCTCGCTTTTTGCCATCCAAAATAAACATTTTAAATGAGCGTTTGACTCAAAGCTAATTAAGCCATTTGGCCCAGGGCTCTTAGCATAATCAAAGAGCTCACCAAGCAGTCTTTGTGCTCTTACTAATCCATACAACCACAAGCAGATCATGAATGTACACAGAAATGCTCTTGAATGTGGAAGAATGCTTCAAACATCAGAAATTCATGTTTTATCTGCCATCATCTGCTCCCGTTCCGTGACTCAGAATAATCTGCAGCAAGTGAGAGCTTAGCGGAGACGCTGTCGGTGAACTGGCATTTGTAACTGTCACTAATCAGTTAGGATCCACATTGCTGTGACAACCCAAACAAAGATATATAATAATAAAGTGGAAAACCCATGTCCATCAAACGGAATTATCACTTAAGTGTCAGACTAAATCTGGAGTCTGAAAAACATTTTGCCTTCCATTTTTAAATTCCAAGGGAACTCAAAACCTTACTTAATGTAGATCTGTTTGCAACCAGCATGTGACATAAACAGCAGAAATAAAATACAATTAATTATTTCAGTAATGCATTATATATATATATAAGAGCAGTGCTGAGGTGGGAAGGTGTGGAGCAAAGATCTGGCATTTGCGAGAAGGACAGCGTTTAATTACCTTCTAGTAATTAAAACAGCTGTATAATGAAGGAGCACCAAACAGAAGCTAAATGTGCACAGCTGTGACTATAAATATACATGCAAAAGATTCTGGACAAATTGCCTCATGCAGAGAATACACATTAACATTAACATAAATCATCCCTTTTGCTGGGGCTATTAGTTCTAGCATGCTACATATAAAAAGCTGCCCCAAAAATGTCTTAAATATTAATTTTAACCGTTGGAATTTAATATTCAAAGATTGTTTTGTGGAAAAAGTACTTTTTCAAATCGCTTCTCTACCCTGCATTGCTACATTGAGAATTGGTTAAGAACATTTTGTACTAATATAAATAAACTTAAAAAAAAAAAAAACTATAAATTTAAAATATTTTTACAAATATTTACTAGAATTAACATTTTATGTATGTATTTTTGGAACTTTTTGTTCGATGAACAGAAAAACTTTTGCAATTTCTTTCTTTCTCCATTATTTAACAGTATTTTTGTCGGTAACAAAATTAAAACAATAAAAACCACTGATTTAATATAAGGTAACTAACATTGGTTAAGGTTGTTTTAAGGGTATGATCAGGGGTTAGTACCTAGTTATTACTGAGTTATTGTAATTACTATAATAAGTACATAGTATGTAGTATGTACATGGGGAAAAGGACTGTAAAATAAAGTGCCACCAAAATAATAATAAAAATCCATTTAAGCCAGGGGTCTCAAACTCAAATTAACTGGGGGCCGCTGGAGATAGAGTCTGGGTCAGGCCGGGCCGCATCAAGTATCCCCCCCAAAAAAAAAAAAAAAAAATTTAAGTATTCCGAAAATGGAGCACAACTGATCCAATCTTCTCAATCTTTATTATTAACGTTTCTTCTGAACTGTTCCTCTGAATTTGAACATTCCTTTCTGTACATGATTGATTCTTCATGAGCTGTCCTTCTGACAGTTGGAGTTAATTTTACAAACTTTCTTTGTCTTTTTCTTATACACAACATCTTTGTTGTGATGATAGTCATATTTGCTTTTTATTTTCTTTATACAACACTATTATATTGAATTTTTTCCCCCAAAAGGCACATTTCCTTTTATTATACTTAGAAAAACAATTACTGCTTTTGAAATACAAATAATTCTTTCTACACATGTATAGTGTCTCAGGCAAATTACTGACTTTGCACATATCAAAGCAAACCTTCTTATCAACCTGTTGGACCAAGTTCATTACATGAACTAGTTCAAAGTTCAGTTCACAAATTTTAAAATGAACTAGTTATTTTTTTTCCATATGTTGCTGCGAGCTTCTTTTTTATTATTAGGCTATTATTATTGCCACAGCCCATATACAACTACAGATAACAATCATTTTATCGACGGGCAAAGTTTGCACAGACATGTAAGATTTTCCCATCCTCACCGACCTCATAAAAGCCTTTTAAATGATCTTACGACGCCTCCTCGCTCCTCGGTTCACAGACACTAGAATGAACGAGTTCACTGTAACGTTCATCAGGCAGTAATACAGTAGGTTACGTTCAGTTCACGTTCGCCCAAAATATGAACGAGTTTATGAACTATCGTCATTGAACGCGTTCAGACACAACACATATTACAAGCTCAAAATGATTATTCTCACATTCATTGTTTTAGAGCAGGGGTAACGTTATCCAACACGTCGCTCGCGAGCTATCAGTAGCTGTGGCCTGATTTGATGGTGGTAGCTCGCCTTATGCCTGTTCACATATCGCGCTCACATATTTTGCACGCTCAAGTAGGTTTCAAATAGGCGCGCATCAAGCGCCGAGCGCGCTCATAATTGAAGCGACGCGCTCATTTTTTCCAGGCGCAGTATATGTACTTCGTGGTTGTCTATGACAACTATTGACAACAAACCTACAGTAAGCTGTCACGAGACTACATATGGTAGCCCATAAGGGATAAAAATAATAATAATAAAAAAACGCGGCAAACGCAACGGCGGGCCGCACTAACATTAAACTTTAATATCAAGTAGGGGGCCGCGGGCCGCGAGTTTGAGACCTCTGATTTAAGCCATTGCGTAGCAAATGTACAAATAGAGATATATACTGTAACATTAAAAAGCTGAAAAATATAAAAAGATCTTTTATAGCTATATCACTCAGCTCTAATGTTTGGCAAATTAGTCCACTTGATTTAGTTAAAAATCGGTGACATTGTTTGTGTTTAGAAGTGTTTGCGCAGAATCAAACTTACTCAAAGTAGCAGAAGGTTGGGTAGCCCTTGACGCTGAACTCCTGTTTGAGCCCGTCAAACTCCGCCGGGTGCACGTTCATCCCAGCCAACACCTACACCAAAAGCAATGAATTAGACTCCAAACAAACAATCCCTGTCTAGCACCTCCAACACGGGAAAATGAAGATGAATGGCCACATCAGTGCACGCTGAAAGCTTGTCGATGGAGATGGCATGCAGTGAAGTGGCACGTGGTAAATATCCAACTCTTTCATGACATTGCAGGCTTGACCTGACATGCTAATAGCATCCCGAAAACAATTTCAACTCACTTTGGTTTTGGAGGAAATTTACTTTAAGTCACTACTGACTCAATTTACTTTGTGTTTGAATGCATCAAAACAGAAAAAAAAAAAAAAAAGCTATGGCGCATCATATTGCCTAGTTGAAAAAAAAAAATAGCTTGTGGCCTAAGTTTAAACAAACTGCACTCTTATGACAGGCCATGCTTGATAATGAATTCTAAAATAAATGTATATTATCCCAGAGTGTCACAAGTAGTCACCGGTGCCTCGTTTGCATTCGTCAGGCCAATGAAAAATATGCAGACAAACTCTGCTGACCAGCGATTACTTGCCAAATCCATCAATGTTTCTGCAGCGCTATCAGCTTCTCGACATACACGGGGAAACTCAGAAACACAGGAGGCAGCAAATTTACACATCGCATCCATAACAGGAAGCTACCCATTCATTATCTAAATCTCCAAACGAGCAGCTTATTTTCTAGAGCGAACTCATCAGTCCAGGGTTAGAGAAATTAACACTGCTTAAATCTCTCCGTATGTGGAAAAAAAATAAATAATAATAATAATAATAATATATATATATATATATATATATATATATATATATATATATATATATATTTTTTTTTCACATACGGAGGGATTTAAGAAATTAAACCTTATTGTAAGGTAATTTATATTGTACATATAAATAATAGTAACACCTTACAATAAGGTTTATTTTTTTCAACGTTAATGAATTGGTATCATAAACTAAGAATGGACTTTTTTTTTATAAAATGTATTAAATGCAGGTTAATGATCATCTACAGTTCCTTGTTAATTAATGTTCATAATACTTCAAATGTTAAAAATGTTAGCATACATTACTGTTAAAAATTGAGGCCAGTAAGATTTTTCAGAATGAAATTAATAATTCTACTCATGCAACAATGTTATAAAATGATCAAAAAGTGACAATTAAGACATTTATAAATGTTACAAAAGTTGTGTATTCCACATTCTATTCCACAATGCTGTTCTTTTGAATTTCCTATTTAAAAAAACAAAAAAAAAAAAAAAAAAACCTGAATAACAAAAACAAAAATGGTCAAGGTTTACACTAAAATACAAAGCAGCACAACAGTTTTAATCTTTGATTATAATTATAAATAAAATAAAATAAATAAATATTATTAAAAAAAAAAACAAAAAAAAAAAACTACAAAAACTTTGAGCACCAAATCAGCATATTAGAATGATTTCTGAAGGTTCATGTGACTGAAGACTGGAGTAAATAAAATATAAAATATTAAAAAAAATATATATATATATATATAAAAAAATAATAATATTCTAATTTCGAATAATATTTCACAATATACATTTTTTTTTTTACTTGCTTTGCAATCAAATGAATGCAACTTTACTAAGACATCTTTCAAGGACAAACCTTTGAACGGTAATATCGAGCAGAAGTGAAGAAATTAACATTAAACCAAAATAATAATTCCTGTAAAAGCATTGTTCATTATTAGTTTATGATACCTAATGCATTAAGTAATGTTAACAAATTAAATCTTATTGTTGTGTGATTTTCTACATGCAATACGTTTTTCAGTTTACCATTGGATAAAAGGAACGTAGTAACGTTTTGGAAAGGAACATAAGAACCTTCAGCCGCGTGATACTAATGTTCTTTTGACTTGCGCAAGCTTCCACATTGACAACATTCCAGCTTTGACATTCACAGTGAGGTCTCCTTTCAAAACGTTTCACTTTGGACAATTTAAGTTTGAATGAATGTTCAACCATCAATGTTTGTGCTTCTGTGTACATTCTGTGATGTGAGATGGGGAGAAAGACAGAGGGATATTAAAAAAGAAAAGGACTGAGAGAGAGAAAAATGTGTGGTGAAGGGTACTTTGGGTCTCCCGGCAGTGCACATAGAGATATTGAGCGGAGTTGGCATATAATCCATACTTCACCATAGACTTCAACAGCATGAAGTACATCCTATAACTGTACTATGAAATCAGCAGAAGGGCTTTTAAGCAAAATTGCCTCTTGCTCTAATGAGGGGGAACTAAACGTTCTGTCAAAAAGGGACATCAATGGTTTCACAAAACATCCACCTGTTAAGTGATTCAACAACTGTACCAGATACGATCAAAATTTTGGTTGAAATAAAGTCTAGAAGAAAAAAAAAGAGGAAGAAATAAAAAGAAAGCAGAGGAATCGATAGGCCATGATTCTGTACATGCTACTGTACTTACATATTTTCCTTTTGTCTCAGTGGCTGTTTGTTGGAAAATGGGCTGCATCCTTTTACATACACCACACCCTGCATGTAGAAGAGATGTTAGAGGTTAAGGTGCGGTCACATTAGTGAAAATAAATGAAATTTCATGAGCAAAAAAATAGTGTAGCATTGTATAAATCACAGCTAACAGTACACTTTAGATTAGGGTCCAATTCTCACTATTACCTAAATATTAACAATGCCTTTTGCCTCAATAAACTTCTAATTATTGCTTATTAAGGGTAGATTATGGATACAGAATGAGGCATTAATATGCGCTTTATAAGTACTAATTAGGAACTAGTTGATGGTGAGAATTGGAAAGTTACCATCACTTTTAAACCAAGCAGCTTTCCATTTGGTCAAAATGCCAAATGCGTGTGACCAACTTAAACCATTGCCAAAATCTGAGTGGGGTTGGTAAGATACTTTAATGGTTTTGAAAGAAAACTCTTATGATCATCAATACAGCATTTATATAATCAAGAACACTGTAAAAACAGTAATATTGTAAAATACTATTACACTTTAAAATAACTTTTCAATTTCTACTATAGAGATCATGTCTAATTATTATCAATGTTGAAAACTATTGAGCTGCTTAATATTTTTGTGGGGACCGTTACATTTGTTTCAGGCCTCTTTGATGAATATATGTTATTAAGAAGAGCATTTATTTGAAATAGAAGTCTTCCGTAACATTGTAAATGTTTCAACTGCAACTTTTGACCAATTTGTCGCATCCTTACTGAATACAATTATTCATTTCTTAAAAAATACCCTACTGACCCCAAACTGCAAGTCAATTTATTCCCTAAATGAGTGGTTCCCAAACCTATCCTGGAGGACCAACACTGCACGTTTTTGTCTCCCTAATCAAAAACACATGATTCGACTCATCAGCTCAATTAACCCATGTGATAATGAACTGATGAGTTGAATCAGGTGTGTTTGATTAGGGAGACAATGAAAACGTGCAGTGTTGGTGGTCCTCCAGGACAGGTTTGGGTACCACTAATTTAACCTCAACTTAAAGCTACAATATGTAAGATGTTTGTAATAAAATATCCAAAAATCACTTGCACAGTGTGATATATTTTATGCAGTTGTGTACTTACAATATCCCAAAAGTTCCCGAAGATTTTTAATTTCAGAGAAATTACAATTTTAAATAACGGCTCGTCCATGTTCACTAGTCGATTTAATATCCGCGTTATGCCTGGTTTCCGCTTATACTGCCATAGTAACCATGGCGACAGACATGGACAACTGCGTTACGTCTAATGGCACGCTCACGCTGTTGTTGTTTCGTTCAAACATTATGGACCATAGCAAGCAGACTTTGGGACAAAAGGAAAAATAAAATGAGGATCAATATCGGTTTTCGAGATGCCGAGAGCTCCACGTCCGTGACAAACTTCCAACTTGACAGAGTTCTTACATGAACTTTATTAGACAGGTGAGCAAATGTACATAAAACGAATCAATTATCTAGCGCGACATGATGAAATGTTAGAATATGATCAGTGTGTTATTATAATGTTGATCTAGGCTTTCTGCTAGTCTTATTCAACCAACAAACTAACACACAGAATAACATTATAACTTTCAACACTCGAATGCAGTTTAACAGCGCTGCGTTACCTCAAGTTTAATTCGTCAAATAAACCAATGTGTGTGAGTATTAATTCAGCACTTGTGGATAGTTCGGTAGAATGAAATGTTCTTATTCCTTTATATCTGTGGGACTCGCGTGTGTTTCTCATTAGCAATCTCGCCCTGCTTCATACCAAAGTCATGTTAAAAACATCAATATATTCACTCATCCATAAACATTATTAGATCCATCAGCATGGCGACAAGTTCCATAATTCCACTTATGCGTCATCAACCTAGGCCTTTGTTATTGTAAGAGGTTAGTGAACCCTAGCAGCGAAAAAAAAAAAAATGACATGCTGTAGCTTTAAGAAACACAATGGATACTGTCTGGAGTCTTGGAGGGAAAAAATTAAATGTCAATCTAAATATGATTTCAGCTGATTCCTCATCTACAAGACTTAACTGTTGCAGTAATGAGCTTGTGGGTTCCTCTGAGCACTACACAAGGAATCAAGATGAGTCTTTGGAAGTTAAACTCTTGCTAATAGTACATTGACAAATGCTGGACATCCTAATGAGATCACGACCACAATACCAACCTGCATTGATTCAGGCACACCACTCAATCACACTTTACAAGATCTGTTTTGCTAGAATTTGGTACATCTTGCATGATTGCACACAGTTTGCATCATATGAAGTGTCTAGTGGTGGAAGATTACAAACAGGGGTGACTCACATGGGGCGTAAAACATCATGAGGATGGGCCGCTCCTCTTTTTTCAGCAGTTTCCGGAAATCCTGCGGGCCAAACAGGACAAAGTGAGTGAGCCAAACACTGGGTTGAGTGGCTATAACTTTTAGTAGTTTCAAATGATCTCAGTAAACCAACAAATGAGAGTTGAGATCCCCTGGCCTTTCATTAGCAGGTTCATTACTCCACTTATTAAACCATCACACACCAGAACAGTGTAGGTGTTTTTGACTGAATCTGCCACAGTCATCTGCAGTCTCAAATTTTTGTTTAAAAAAAAAAAAACACTATTGCAAAACATTCGACTAGATTTATTTTAAATCTATTAAAAAGTGGACAGTGCAATGTCTTTCAATTAGGGATGCACCGATATGACAATTTTGGCCGATACCGATAAACGATAATTCTTTATATTTGAAAGCCGATAACCGATATTTTGGCCGATAAATCTAAATCCAAATTTTTAGACAATTTTCGATTTTCCTCATTGAAAGCCAAGATACAAACACAATTATGACGTTCGTATTTTAATTTTTGTGTAGCCGATATGACACACTTGCGCTGCACATTTTGCACTTTAACTGGATTTTCCTTTTTTAAAGTGATTTCAATCATATTTCAAGCAATTTCAAAGCATCATGTTGAACAGTGCACATCTAAAAGTGCCTCAGCTGAAGGAAATAATACATAATTTATCGGATTTTAGATATCGGCTAGATGTTCTTATTGGGCCGATAACGCTAACATTAAAAATGATCATATATCGGCCAATACCGATAACGTGGCCGATATATCATGCATCCCTACTTTCAATATAAAGTATTGTCAGAGGGTGGAGGCAGGCTCTCACCAGGAATATTAAAAAAAAAATATATATTGCTAGGTTTTTGTTGGTCAATGGTGCAGTCTATTTCAGTTGCCTCAAAATAGCAATGCGCCTGAACACACCTCAATTTCAGACCAAGCACCATGGGCGCACAAATAGGTGCAAATACGTTTACTATTTAAACAACTATTTACTATTTAAACAAAGTTGGCGCAGGACGCGAAAAAGATAACTGCGTCGGGCTGAAACTAGCAAAAAACACTTGCATTGTGTCAGGTGTATGATAGGACCATGAATTCATAGTTTAACTTTCCTGACAAAAATGATGTTTATCACTACTGTAATGTCTGGAAAATATTATCACAATTATAACTTCAACCTTGTGACTTGAATTTTTAGATGCAACTTTAAGGCATTTAAAACCACACTTGATCCTGGATACACTGTCTAGCTGCCAGATTTAGCCTCTAGAGACAGAAGAAAAGGAAGGCTCTTCTGTTGCAGATTGCTCAGCTACAAGTCTTTTGTTCTGTCTGACATTCCCACACCTGATAAATACTCAGCAGAAAACCGATCTTCGCTGCAGTGTGCTTCAGAGAGCAATACTTACCTTCTCTGACTCTATGTGAACAACATCTTTAGCCTCAGGGTTCTCCTCCCACAGGGGGGCACCTGAAGGGTCTTTCAGGAAAGCCACCATGGACTAAGAGAGAATAGATAGAAACTTTGAAAAGAGACCATTAGAGAATCATATTTCACTGTCAAAAGAAACTGCAAGTGCATTTATTTCTTTTTCTAAGTGAATCATTGTGAGATTAGATGTATGGATCAACAATAATGGGATAAACACTACAAGTCTCATATGCTCATCAAGGCTGCATTTATTTCATCAAAATACTGTAAAACAATTGCGTTGTGAAATATTATTGCAATTTAAAATAATTTCCCATTTTTATATAGATTTTTAATTGTAATTTATTCTTGTGATGCAAAACTGAATTTTCAGCATCATTACTCCAGTCTTCAGTGTCACATGATCCTTCCGAAATCATTCTAATATGCTGGTTTGCTGCTCAAGAGGAAACATTTCTTGTTATCGGTGTTAAAATCAACTTAATATTTTTGTGTAAACTGTGATACATCTTTTGAGGATTCTTTGATTAACAGAATGTTCAAAAGGACAGCATTTATTTGAAATATATATTTATTTGTAACAATGTAAAACTATTCATTTTTTTAAAACTTTTAAATCAATTTAATGCATCCTGCAGTAAATAAACGTATTCCATTCTTTCATGTTGCTAAAATAATTTATAAAAAAAAAAAATGCAACCACAAATATTTCTGCAGTATAGAACTGAGTCAGTTCAAGAGCATTTATCTTTTTTTCTTTTTTTTTACTTTATTGAAAGGAGTGTGTTTATTGGCATATTAGTATTTGCTGTGAAATTGGTTATTGGACATTTACATTTAGACTACTGAAATTTGGACTTTATCATTTTGCTAATTGAAGTAATATTCCAAACTTGTTCTAAGCATGATCTTACTTGAACATAAAAATATGGAGACTTATCACCAATCATCAAAAAGGTTTCACTCTTGCGCAATTACACTAATTTAGTTCCTAATCTATGAATCCTAGACATTAGGAGCTAATCACTCCCTTGACATAAAGTGTTCAAAGTACAGCGTTATTATGCTATACCAAGGGAAGATGAAGCGCAATATGTGGTACTTAACAGCAGGTGCGTTTAATAAGAGCTCTCCATTTTTTACACACCAGTGGCGCCAGCGAACTTGTCCCATCACTGTTTCATCATCCAGCAAAGCTCATCTCATTCATTTTTAACATATTCACATTACAGCTCTCCTCATTCCAGAACCATTCATCAATGCCTCATCACATTCGCTCATAATTGAGCTGAAAGTCGTGTGGAGAATGAAATAGGTGAGAGAAACCAATGGGAGACGAATTTGATTCGTCTACTTCTGAAGCTTGGACTTCTAGTTCTGCTGCTTGAGACTGAGCACTATGAAATAACAGCCATGGGAAAACGGTGGGCGTCAATCGGGTAAATAACAACAAAGAGCAAATCATCCACTAACAGATGACAGAGTGTGCATCCAAAAATGCACAGACGGTATTTTCTGCAAAAGCGGATTGTCAATCCATGTCTAACAAAGAAATATTGATAAACTGGATTCTGAAAGAGGCTTCAAAAAAGCTTTAATTTTTGTTAGAAATGCCATCATCAAAATGTAGTTTTCAGAAAAACTACCTTAAATGTGGATGGTCTGTTGTATTCCGTATGGAAGGTCCCATCCCTAAAAGGAACACAAAACTAAGATCAATTGCAGAGTTCATGGTTCTTAGTAATAATTCATGAGATCTTCATCTACCATTGTTACATGGATCTCAGAAAATGAAGACTGTTCTTACTTGTAATGCAGGACCTCGACTCCTTTGGTTTTTGAGCTGGGATCTACCTTGACTTTTTTGCAGAGTTTGCGGCCTTCTGAGTCCCTGAGGTGGGAAACATACATTAAAACATGAATATTAGCTAACCGTGCCAAGCATTATAGCATTTTCTAGAGAAGTTATTCACATCACACGGCCAAGATGTGCTGCAGTTTGGTAATTTTTCACTCAAGTGACATCTCTTAAAGCAGTAGTTCACTTTAAAAAAAAAAACTTTTGCTGATAATTTACTCACCCCCATGTCATCCAAGATGTCCATGTCTTTCTTTCTTCAGTTGAAAAGAAATTAAGGTTTTTGATGAAAACATTCCAGGATTTTTTTCCATATAATGCACTTTACTGGGCTCCAAACAGTTCAAGGTCCAAAAGACAGTTTCAAACTGTTCAAAGGGCTTTAAACGATTATAGACGATGAGGGTCTTATCAAGCGAAACGATCGGCCATTTCAAAAAGAAATTAACAAAGTTTAATCTTTTTTCGAGTCAATTCGTTCATTTTGTTCGTTGAACGAACCAAATGACTCGAAAAAAGTTCGAACAGGAGAGTCACAACGAGCGTTTGAACTTATTAAACTTAAACTTTGTTATTTATTTTTTAAATGACCGATCATTTCGCTTGATAAGACCCTTATTCATCGTCTGGAATCGTTTAAAGCCCTTTGAACACTTTGCACTGAAACTGTCTTTTGGACCTTGAACGGTTTGGTTCCCACTGAAGTCCATTATATGGAGAAAAATGCTGGAATGTTTTCATCAAAAACCTTAATTTCTTTTCGACTGAAGAAAGAAAGACATGGACATCTTGGATGACATGGGGTGAGTAAATTATCGGCAAAAGTTTTTTTTTTTTTAAAAGTGAACTACTCCTTTAATGTGGTCCAAGACCTCTGTTGGTATCCCTTGTTGCATGGTATCCTTAACGCCGCCTTCACACTGGCAGTTGAAATCAGCTACATAATACGCAATATGTCCCCCAACGGACGTCATACTACATAGTGAAAAGCGTCGGAAGCAGGTAGAACAAAAATGGCGGAGAGATTAGAAAGGTTGATTCTGTCAGTTCTGCATGATCTCTCTGATGAGGGTTATAAAGATATTAATAGGAAGTCTGCCGTATGAGGAAAGTTGCTCAGGACGTTGACATGTCATGTCGACTAAAAAATGTGCTATAGTGGTATAATTTCAGTTAGGGATGCACCGATCCACATTTTTTCACTTCCGATCCGATCCCGATACCTGACTTTGGATATCGGCCGATACCGATACTTTTCCGATACCAGAGCTGTGTTTGCTTTAATAGTATTTATCATTATTGTTGATTTTATATGATGCTGAAATAAACTCCTCTCTACAGGCAAGGATGATATACGTATGTATGTATGTCAATATATATATAAATATATATATATATATATATATATATTAAACAATAGATAGACAATTAAACAAAGATACACATTATACAGGCCTACACAGTGCTTTAATTTCAGGAAGGTCTACAAACATTATTCAGGTTGGTCTTAAAAAGAATTATAATAAAGTAATCAAAAGTAAAATAGCACTGCAAAGTTTATCATAGATAGATTTATGGTTATTAAAGCTGAAGTAATTCATTCAAGAGCTGTGAGTGATTTTCTCTTTGCCTTTGGTTGTTTGATTCTCAGTAATGTCGCAATCGTCACATTTATGCTGCTGCCCCTTTAAGAACGAGTTCAGATTTCATAGTCTACTGATGCACCATATTTTCTCCCAAATATTTCCATAACTACGTTCATTTTAGACATAATAAATTGTTTAAGTGTTAATCTCCAAGTCGGTCGGTTTGACATTTTTGTGCAGGCTACATTTGATCGTTTAGACGCGCATATGAAGCCCAGATTATAATTTGCTTGTCTTGTTGCGGTCTGTTTCGGAGCGCGCCGCACTGGAAACAGCATCTCTTGCGCAAATTTTGTGCTTTTAATAGCTCTTTTTATTATTAAAAGCGTCCCGCAATTTAGTAACAGCAGAGACTGCATTTTACTACAATCATCGATCGTGCTGATTCTGTCTTAAAGTTTGAGTTTTAGGGAGAAATGACAGCGCACCGCCGCGATGGGAAGGAAGTTGGCTAGACAGAATGCGGCTATTGTTTTTAATGTTTTTTTTTTTTTTTACCTCAATATATTCTTTAATATTTGGAAATCAGACTAATATCACAGATCTAAAGTGTAACCAGGCTACGTACGTGCGTGCTGTTGCACCGCGTGAGAGATCTCTCTCTTTCTCTTCTGGACTGCGAATTGCAAACATGCATCAAATAGTTTAATTAATACGGCTTTGCAAACATTGCACTTTGCCGTCTTGCTCTGCTGCGGTGTTTCCAGTGTGTGAAGTATTTCCACCATATGATTTCCACACAGCGAACCTGCTAGCTGGCTGCAAACTGCGGAATGGATTTCCTGAGCGGGGGTGTGTCTCATTGAGTCCTATGTTTTACAGTCACTGATTGAGCTGCACCTCCGTTCAGGATATCCATTCCACAGTTTGCAGCCAGCTATAGCAGACTAGCAGGCCCGGCGGGAATCACTTTTGGAGTCATTTCAGCAGCCAACGTTAAAGCGCAGACATGGATCATAAATATCGGATTTCTCCGCAGGTTGGATCGGAAAAATCCGATACGTGAATAATGCTGGTATCGGTCCCGATACCGATACTGGATCGGATCGGCCCCATCCCTAATTTCAGTAGTTCGATGCCTGCTTACAATTTAATTGTATTAACTGCCCTAACAAAGTTAGAAAGTCATGAAAATAAAAAAAAAAATGACAAGACAACTTATTATAAAATCATTATTTATTTTATCAAAAGTTAAGAATTCAGGTTTGTTTATCAGTACCATAGCAACGCTCAACTTCCGCTGGAACTGACGAATAGGAACCGTCTGTAGTTTTTCGCAAGAGTACAATTTTTTGAACGCATCCGGATGACCAACGGACACGATTTTCTTTGCACCGCACTCGGTCGGACCCGTTTCGGACCCATTTGCATGCGGTCTGCGAATCTCCATAGGAAATGAATGACTTCCGGTCGTTTCGGAGCCGTATCGTAGCGGATTTCAACTGCCAGTGTGAAGGCGGCGTAAGAGCCTTCTCCAACACCACAACTGAAAGGCATCAATCCTCATTCGAGAATTTTATTCATAGTCCAGTTTTCACATCCATATGTTAATATAGGAAACAATTGCCTGGGCTGGCTATTATTTCAGGTGTGCAGTCTCCAGTTTGGTCAATCATCGATCCTAAGAAGCCGAAGTACTTTTTTCGTTGATGGTTACTTTAATTGCACTGGTTCCAGCTGTTGACATCGTTTTTGTATTTTTGACGTTCAGGTGGAGTCCCATCTTTTCACTTTCCTTTTGAATTTTTACTATAAGGCGTTTCAAGAACATGTTTGGTTTCTGCTAATAAGGTTGTCTCATCAGCATATTTCCGTCGCCAATCTTCACATCTATTGAATCGTTCCAGTTACAATTTTGCACTTTGTTTGCTACCTGAATTCAAACATAGTAATTGAATTGGATATTAAAGATACTATCAATTCAAGCATGAATGGCACACAACCCAAGAAGAAATGCAAGCAAAACAAAGTTTGAAGCAACCATGTTCAGTACAGTGTCTGCAAGCGCAATCAATTAACGTCATACTTTTTGTGCAAACACAGAGGCGAAAGCGAACATCAAGTCATAGCGAATCATGCTCAACAAATATTATAATCACATTATTCTATTATAACACAGGCCCTTGAAGGACATTTGTCATGCAAATTGATGCAGCCAAAAAGTGAAGTGATACAATTAATAATGTCCCAAGACATTTAATAGATTGCTGTAGCAGCAATACGAGACCGCTCATGAGAAGCGACAGATGACCACAGCAATAAGCTAATGTAAGGGCCGCCTCTAAGTTTTGGCAAACCCTGTCATTCTTTTTTTTTTTTTGAAGGACAAGACATTCAGCTTCACATGAAGTCTGCCTGCTTGAATTCAGAGCCATAGGTCTCCAGATAAGAAAAGTGAAATGTTTTTCCTCTTCGCTCTGCTTTAGTGTGTTCTTACAGCTGAAGAGCACACTGCAAAAAGTCCTGAGCATTAAATAGATTTTGTACGACTATGTGGTACTGGTGATAGCAAACATTCCACAATCCGGCATACTTTTCATCCCAAGCAGGACTAAACAATAAGACCAGCCTGTCTGTCTGGAGGTCAGTGTAAACATCGCTCGAGACAGTTCACACAACTGTCACTTGCCAGATCTGAACAGTGCTGCACCACAAATTTGTATCATTTGCAAGTGTTTTTAAGCCTTGCCAATTTAAATATCCAAGCACAAGACGACAAGAAAGAGAACTCCATTCGATAGTGAGAGAAGTTGTGTGCTCACAAATCCAAAGCCCAGAAAGCTGCTTCTCAGACAGCAAGCAAATGAATAAAGCTCTTTCACATCATTTCATGTCAAAAAACAGTAAACAGTAATGGTGCGTTCACACCAGACGCAAATAGCACATCAGGCGCGAATGATTTCAATGTTAAGTCAATGCAAAGACGCGTTAAGGCCGTGTGTCCACCAAAGCATTTTTCCACGCGCTTTGCGTATGTTTTCAATGGGAGCTGAGCGGTTTTTTTTCACGCTGAAGCGCCGAACGCCCGGCGTTTTTACTGGTCGCTGGGAGTTGAAAAATGTTCAACTTTGGATAAAACGCAGCGCTCATCACTGTCACTTTTTACCCAACCGTCCAATCACAGTGGAGGAGGGGCGGGACTAATACCACACCGATCAACTGTCAACATTCAAGCTGCTGCGGATATTCTGTATCATACTGTAGCAACGAAACGTCTCAATGGAAAAAAAAAACGCTGCGCTGCCAAAACGCTCTCAAGCGCCCAAAGCACGGCGTCTTCAGCAGAGCGTCTAGCATTTTCAGCTGGCTAAAAACGTTTTGCTGGATACACGGCCTAAGCACGTAAAAATTCCTGCGGCACGAATATGGCGCAGAGTACGGCGCGGTAGGCGCGAATACGCCTCGTTCACACGAATTGAGCGTCTGGCGCGTTAAGCGCGTTACGCGCAAATGATTTAGTGCTATTTGTGCATTCGCGCGTTTGACGCGAATTCCCGTCTGCCGCCCTGAGTTGAAAAATCTGAACTTTTGCGCCGCGTTAACCAATCAGGAGCCAGCTGCTTGCTCATGTGGTGAAGGATCTGGATGCTTCGATAAATTATTTTGTAATATGACTCAATGCCAGGTGTGGTTCTAATGCACAACAAAGCAAATATTTTATCACTTAAAACTTTATTTCAATATACGAGACATGTTCATCTTGTATTGAATGTTATTTATTCCATATCTAGATTATATGAAATATTATTATGATGTCAAGACACCCAACATACATGTGCATAAATTCGTGTCTGGACGTGAGAGAGAGAAAAATCACAGGACATGTTAATAACTTTTGGGGGCTGGCTCTATTTATCATCAAAAATCAAAATCATACTTCCACCGCGGGACAGGTGGAAGTACCGCTGACAGCAGCCGTCATCCAGGCGCAGCTCCTCGAGCAACCAAATGGTGAAATTCACCAAACGGTTCGCCTCTGAAGGGTCCGGTGGACACAAATACGGCGACGATTATCCCCAGTTCTGCTCTCAAAAGCAAATACAGAGCAGTGACTCTCTCGATGAATGCTCGATCAATATAAAAAAGATGGCCGCCAATGGGTTTCGATTCTGACGCATGTAAATTTCGCTTCAAACTTTTGTTTTTACATGCGTCAGTTTCACTCTTGACGTGCAAATGAACACAAAGTGGTCAAGTGTCAAACTAGACGCGATGCACGCGAATTTGACGTGCTATTCGTATCCGGTGTGAACATTTATATAGTTTGTGTTATATCTTTCAATATAAACAGTTGAGAAATAAAACGCACGTGTAACAGTTTATTAGATCCATGCAGCTCTTAAAGTGACAGCAGCCTAATAAACCAACCTGCTGACTGAATGACTTTTGTAACTTTAAAAAGGATTAATATACATTTAAATACAAATACATTTTTATGCAGTGCTAGTTTTTAAGTTGATTTTAATTTTCTCTAACTGAAAATTTCTGCTAGACTTGAAAAAAAAAACATAAAAAGCAGTGTTTATTTTATTTGTTCTATTATATTTGTGCTATTGCTCGTAATTGAACAAAGACAACAACTAGGCCTATTTTATGTATTTATTACTTTTTGTGGTGAGCAAAATTTTGGCAGGGCAAGTAAAAGAAAAGAAATGCAACACTGGACCGACCGGGTTAATTCCATGTGCTTTATTGTGGGAAATATTAGATATGTTAGATAAACCTATCGAACATAAAATCAATGTAGCATTAAAAGTAGCTAGATTTAAACCTCAAATGTCTTTATCACAAGTAGCCATTTGGACCCTTTCTACAGTACGTGATAAGTAAACATTTGCAGCTCTCAATTTTTACACAAAAAGTAATACATTTATTATGCTCAACAATTCAACCTTGTTACTCAAGTTATTGTAAAAAAACATTATCAACAATCAACAATATTTTAACTTATGGGAAATACAAGTTAAATAAATAACAATTACACATTTGGTTTTAAACTATTTAGCTCTAGAAATGTAAATTTGATGTGCATTTCAAAAACAGAAACGGCTGTTTCTATTTATATCTAGTTTAACTTCCTGACTGAGGCTGACGATCAATTTTCTGAAAACTTTGTACTTTTAACTGGCCAATTGATGAATAAACAAATACAGCCTTTGTTTATAAGAATTTCTGGCCCTATTTGTATCCTATTTATGGCAAAGTGCCACAAAGGGATTCAAAATTCTGCGGTTGCTAAACTCATTGCACAAAAAAAATGAACACTCCAGATCCAGACAAATTCATCTTTGTCATACAGCCAATGACAAAACAAAAACACAACAGCAACAGAGCACTCCATCTTAACACTCACACCTCAACAGAATCTGAGAACAGAAAAGGCCCACAATTACCTGGTCCCACAGTCACCGCACATACACCCACACCCTCCCAAAGACATCCAGATATCGCTCCATTGAAAAGACTTCCCTTGAGCGATAATGAGCATGGAAATGTATTACATAAGGACAAATAGGAGCAGAGAGGACTCAGCAGCGATCTAAAGCCCCATGCTAATGGAAATTCAAAGAGACAGAATTCAATTATGCTTCTGACAGCATCCACCCCCAACCAGCTCCATCCCTTAAAGGTAGATGAGACGCCATCATTAGCGTTCTGCATTTCCCACATAACGCCTTTGTGGGAGGACCGAGATAGGTGCGGCGGAGATCAGAGCTCAGTCTGTCATGTGGGAAACTCAATTATGCATGCTGTGTGTTGAAAGAACTGACTCAGGATCACAGATGGCAATAAGCACACATGCTTCGACATATGCCCTCCCTCAGCCTCTATGACCCTGGTCGGTACTCCAAAATAAATGGTCATCCTATTCAAGCGCAATACACTATTCTAAAGCATGAGTCATCTGTCAAGTCAATAAGTTTTGTGTGCAGGGGGTTTGGAAAAACAGTTAGTGGCTGAGATTGCGGTCTTCAAACAAGTTGAGAGGGAAAAAAAATTAAGTTTGAAGGTTCCGTGAAAAAGTAGCTGGCCTATTTCAACAAATCTTCGCAAAATATCCAATTGAATCGTTCAGTCTCCAGGATTATTGCATTCCCAATTTCTTCACACTGACCCCACTCTGTCCATGATCTACTTCCTTAATGGTATCCCCAAGTGGATTGCAGTTGGCCATCTCTCAGGTCCCTGTCATCTGTAGAAAATATGTGGGCATATCTCTGCTTTGCTCCATCACACTGCTGCCTGTGAGGAGTTACTTTTTTTAAACCAAGCTTTATATAAGTTGTTCGCAAGGGGACTTGATGTACCCAAGATGGTCTCAAAAAGGTGCTTTAAGGATTGGTTCTGGAAAAAGAAACCATGCTGGCTAAGCTAGAACATACGGAGGCGTATTGCATTTACTTGAAGAAAAAAAATCTACTCTGTTTTTTCTGAATTAACGAGTTCATTTTTCATGAGAAAAAAAATTTGCTCTGTTTTTCTGAATTAACGAGTTAATTTTTCATGAGAAAAAAAATTTGCTCTGTTTTTCTGAATTAACGAGTTAATTTTTCATGAGAAAATTTTTTTTTGCTGTTTTTCTGAATTAATGAGTTAATTTTTCATGAGAAAATTTTTTTTTGCTCTGTTTTTCTGAATTAATGGGTTAATTTTTCATGAGAAAAAAAGTTTTTGCTCTGTTTTTCTGAATTAATGAGTTAATTTTTCATGAGAAAAAAAAATTCAGAAAAACAGAGCAAAAAAAAAATAAAAAATCCATGAAAAATTAACTCGTTAATTCAGAAAAACAGAGCAAAATATTTTTTTTCGCATGAAAAATTAACTCATTAATTCAGAAAAACAGAGCAAATTATTTTTTTTCTCATGAAAAATTAACTCATTAATTCAGAAAAACACAGCAAAAAAAAATTTCCATGAAAAATTAACTCGTTAATTCAGAAAAACAGAGCAAAAACTTTTTTCTCATGAAAAATTAACTCATTAATTTAGATAAACAGAGCAAAATATTTTTTTTCTCATGAAAAAATTAACTCATTAATTCAGATAAACAGAGCACAATATTTTTTTTCTCATGAAAAAATTAACTCATTAATTCAGATAAACAGAGCAAAATATTTTTTTTTCTCATGAAAAAAATTAACTCATTAATTCAGAAAAACACAGCACAAAAAATTTTACATAAAAAATTTTACACAAAAAAACAGAGCAAAATATTTTTTTTCTCATGAAAAACAGAGCAATTTTTTTTTCTCATGAAAAATTAACTCGTTTTTGCTCGTGGATTGCTAAATATGCAAAACATCTAAACTACTTTTGTAACATCTCTTTCTAAAAGCAGAGAAAGACGCTGAGAAGATGCTGAGCTGTAGCACTCGCATGAACTGAACTGGAATACAATGGAACAAGATAAGCCACAAGAAAATACAAGGTAATCACCACCAACATTGATGTAAACTTGGCCTGTGCAATCAATTATGAATAAAATTAAACGGTGCATTCACTGTCTGAGTAGGTACTACATTTTAATTTGAACTTACTTAACGATATAGTATATAGTAGTATGAATAAAACTCGGACATACTAGTATTACGTGACATGGCTAGTGTTTTTCGAATACTATTTGAACATACTACTCTGTACTCAATACTGTTTTACCCATACCAAGTATTCGATTTCGGACACAGTAAAAATTCTCCTGGACATTTTAAAATAAAAATAGTTCAAGGTTACATTAACATACAAACTGTATGTTAATGTAGTTATAGTTATAGACCAGAAACATCCTCTCTAGTCTAAAACACCATCTATTACCTCCATACCGCATGTTTTGTTGTTTATATTAGAATGTCACAGCTGGTATAAAGACACAATATCAGTATTAGAGAAATACCAACAATTTGATCAGGATGTCAGCTGCCTTAACCTAAGTGGCAAAAAAAGTACACTAGCAGTAACCTGCTCAAATACAAGAGCCAAATCGATATGGACTCACCCACAATTCACCCAGGCGATGGTACCCTGACCTTTCACGGCCTGAGCCACATCAGACAGCAGCTTTAGATGAGAATCTCCAGATGAAGCTGAGGACACACACACAAAAAAAAAACATTTAGAAGACTGTAGAAGAGACAGTAACACTCTTAAATATCATAAGCTTGTATGCAACACTGTCCCCATGGCACCTGGTGGCCCACATTGAGCCTGCATTTCGCCTGCAGAGAGCACATGCTATAAATAGCCTCAATTATAAAGCTTGCATTCACTGTATCTTGTTTTTTTTCATAATACACGAAATTAAAGATTAAAGATTAAAGATTTTATATACCATTAAATTAGTTTGTTTTTTAAGAAGAATTTTAAAAAGGTGTTTACATTAATGTGTTTCATTCTGATTGCACTATTAGTCAGATTAATCAACTATTAGGCTGTATATGTACTAAAACTTTGAAATAAATGCAGGGCAATATATGAATACATAATTTTAATTTTGTCATTTGTTTATTTTTGTAAGGAAAAAGAATGACGTGGATTCACATACAAACATGATTCCCATCACTCTCTTTAGAGTAACATTTCAGGTGAAACACAGGAGTATAAGTGACTTTATAATGTTACAAAAATTCCTATTTCAAATAAATTCTGTTCATTGGAACTTTCTATTCATCAAAAAATCTTAAAGAAATTATCAGTTTACACAATATTAAGCAGGACAACTGTTTTACATGATAATAATAAGAAATGTTTCTTGAGCACCAAATCAGCATATTAGATGATTTCTGAAGGATCATGCGTCACTGTAGACAGGAGTAATGTCTTACTTTATATTGATAAATGTTGAATAAAAAATACAAAAAAGTTAATTACATACACACTCACCTAAAGGATTATTAGGAACACCATACTAATACTGTGTTTGACCCCCTTTCGCCTTCAGAACTGCCTTAATTCTACTTGCCATTGATTCAACAAGGTGCTGAAAGCATTCTTTAGAAATGTTGGCCCATATTGATAGGATAGCATCTTGCATTTGATGGAGATTCGTGGGATGCACATCCAGGGCACGAAACTCCTGTTCCACCACATCCCAAAGATGCTTTATTGAGTTGAGATCTGGTGACTGTGTGGGCCATTTTAGTACAGTGAACTCATTTTTATGTTCAAGAAACCAATTTGAAATGATTTGTGCTTGGTGTCATGGAGCATTATCCTGCTGGATAAAGCCATCAGAGGATGTGTACATGGTGGCCATAAAGGGATGAACATGGTCAGTAACAATGCTCAGGTTGGCCGTGGCATTTAAACAATGCCCAATTGGCACTAAAGGGCCTAAAGTGTGCCAAGAAAACATCCCCCACACCATTACACCACCACCACCAGCCTGCACAGTGGTAACAAGACATGATGGATCCATGTTCTCATTCTGTTTACGCCAAATTCTGACTCTACCATCTGAATGTCTCTACAGAAATCAAGAGTCATCAGACCAGGCAACATTTTTCCAGTCTTCAACTGTAGTGGAGATGAGTGGTACCCGGTGGGGTCTTCTGCTTTTGTAGCCCATCCGCCTCAAGGTTGTGCGTGTTGTGGCTTCACAAATGCTTTGCTCTGTGGTAACGAGTGGTTATTTCAGTCAAAGTTGCTCTTCTATCAGCTTGAATCAGTCGCCCCATTCTCCTCTGACCTCTAGCATTAACAAGGCATTTCCGCCCACAGGACTGTCGCATACTGGATGTTTTTCCCTTTTCACACCATTTTGTAAACCCTAGAAATGGTTGTGCGTGAAAATCCCAATAACTGAGCAGATTGTGAAATACACAGACCGGCCCGTCTGGCACCAACAACCATCCCACGCTCAAAATTGCTTAAATCACCTTTCTTTCCCATTCTGACATTCAGTTTGGAGTTCAGGAGATTGTCTTGACCAGGACCACACCCCTAATTGCATTGAAGCAACTGCCATGTGATTGGTTGATTAGATAATTGCATTAATGAGAAATTGAACAGGTGTTCCCAATAATCCTTTACAGTAGGTGAGTGAGATATATATATATATATATATATATATATATATATATATATATATATATATACTATACACACTACAGTATTTGATCAGTACACGAATCCAGATGTTCATAAAATCAAACTTTTATAAAGTTTCATAAAATCAAACAAAAAGTTTTTTTTATTTACATGAACTCAAGTTCACAAAAAAAGTAGTCTGGTCTAGTTACGAACACGGTACATTGTTGCACACACATCTTTCATTTTCTTTAAAATGTGGGGTGAAGGTTGTCATCAGGGCAAGTGCTATATTTACTTGGTGATAAAAAGGGTAGACCAGGTAAATTAATAAATAGTATATAATTTTAAAAAACCCAAAAAAGTGAAGTGAAAGTTGTTCTCCAATTTCACAAGCTTTTCAGCCCATGGTTCTCACTTTGATAATGAAAGCAATTTGCCAACACACCTCGGTGCGGAACAACAGGACACAGCGTGAAAGAGCTAAGTGTAAAAACACAGTGACAGTTTTACTACACCACAGATTTACACATTTGTGGATCTAATATTACACCACTGAACCTGCAATCTGCTTCTCTTCCCATTAATCACACCGGCCAAGGTCAAAGGTACAATCATTTCAGGGTTCTGCCTATCAGTACGTCTTGGTTTTAATTTAATCTAATGAACCTAATTGAAGCAAATACCTTTTTGAATGAGAAGTGCCTGTTAACCACCTGCTCACGAAGGTGTTCCTATAGTCTAAAGCAACTATCACACTTAGCACGCAGGTTGCATCTAATGGAAATTCACAGGATGAGCAGCGCAAGTCAGCCATCAATCAAACACACTGTTCGATACACAGTCTTATCCAATGACCTCATGTGCTCGAAATGAGTCGTGAATTATGAAACAAATAAATCTTGCACAGCAAAACCTTGAGAGGCTCTTTCCTTGCTTTGTGGGTGGGAGATTGTTTATGGATTGTTCATCCATACGGTACCCATATATGGCCCTGTGCCTGCTAGATTTGCTAATAACAGCCACAGCCAGGAGTGATGCAAATGAATATGCAGTGTTAGGGGGTTGTTTCTATCTAATGGCTGGGAAGGAGAAAAGCATTACATTAAGTTGAGGGTGCTGAAGTTGTTATGCTTATCTGTTCTTTAAGTTCTTCTCTGTCTATGGCCATAAGATTTATATTTACTCCGCTAATGAGTGTGGTAAGTACAGAAAACTCCAAGTGTGCTGTACAGAAGGTACCTACCTTTTGTGACATATGGTAGCAGGTTTGTTGGCATATACTGCAGCAGAATCATAGCTCTATAGTCTCAATGAATTTTCCCTTAGGGCATGTAACACATACTGTACACTTCTAGCAACGCAAGCTTAACGTTATGAAACATGTTCCTAAATGTGCCAGGATGCAAATCACAATTCTCAGGCAAAACAGAAACATCTGCTTCTATGGTGAGTTCTCTTTCAGGTTAAATACTGTCATGGCTGAACAGTAGACAATCCTGCTGAGCAAGTTAAAGCCAGCATGTTTTTAGCTAACACAGGGTTGGAACAGTAAGGATTCTTCTTCGTTCATCCTCGGAATACAAATTAAGATATTTTTTATGAAATTTGAGAGCTGTCTCACTCCTCCGTAGGCTTCTAGGAAATTTCATTCTGCCGGCCCAGAAAATGTAGTAAAAACATTGTTGTTTTTGTGCTTCACAGCCATGTCCAACTGATCTGAATCAGTTGTCCAATGTCCAACTGAATCATGTCCAACGTTTGCACGTGTACGTCACTCACTGTTTACACAGAGATTTCGGAAGTTTTAACTTTCACTAAACATATTTAGATATGCAGGAAATCGCAATGGAAGATGATTTCGATATATCTAAATAGGTTTAGATCTTCATAGTGAAAGGTAAAACAATCACATCCAGTGGAACGTTGGAAACGGTTCATTTGGACATTGGACAACAGCTGATTCAGATCCGTTGGACATGGCTGTGGCTACCCAAGGTAAAAACGATATAAATACTGTTCGTTTTCTCACACAAACCGCTCGTTTCGTGTCTTAGGCCATCAATGTGTACTTACATTTACGAGTCATTAAATCATGTTTAATTTGGACTTCTCTTTGCATGCTCTTTGAGGTGAAGGCAGGGTGGACCCCCAAAACCTCCATTATATGACTGACAGACAACAACAGTTTGACTGAAAAATGTCAAAATTGAAAATACTGTGGAAACAAAGGCACCTACTGTACATCTTGGATGCCCTTGAGGTAAGCTAAAACATACAAAAATAATTTCAAAGTGACCTATCCCTTTAATTACAGGTAACTAATTTTATACCAAACCCTAACCTCAACTCCTAATTAATATTAACCAGTACTTATTTAAGTACAATGTAACTACATCAGTAGTACCCAGATTTATTTTAAAAATAAAGATGGGTTTCTTTTTTTTACAACAAGAAAAAGATACTTTTCCCCTATAAAAACTATATACTAAAACACATCTATTGGCAATACATCTGTATATTAAGATATCTTGGCATCTTTGGCAGCAAAAGCTGTAATACTTTTATTGCATCTGAAAAACAACAGTTTGGAGATAGACTGACCTGACTTGGTGTATAAAACAAGAACATTGGTTCTGGTCCTCAGAAGTTTCTTGAAATCCTTGTGGTCATTGACTTTCTCTATGAGTGGAGACATCTTCGCTGCCTGCAGGGCGGATGACACTGCGACCTGAGGAGGTGAGACAGACAGACAGAGGTCATCATTTTTCACTGTCAAGGCCAAACACCACAGGCAGTTCAAAACAATATCCTGAACTGCATGGCATTCGTGTAGTCATGACAGTGTGTCAAACCTAAAAGAAATGACAACAGCCATGACAAACAAGAGCCAACATACCATAAAAGTATATACATCACATCAGTATACTCATATATCACTCTGTTACCGATTAGAAACAACTGGAAAGCAGCTTAAAGTCAGTGTTGGTCACAGATGCATTAAACAAATGAAATTAAATAATAAAAATGTTCCTAAAAAGTGCCCTATAATAGCCCCTGAATTTGTGCTTTGAAGGGAGATTTCTGCTGTTAAGACTATGCTCTCTCTGCCACACTCTCCATCAGTCTTCCCAGTTCGGATGGAACTAAGCTGATAAAGCGACAACAACAGATAAAGGTGCTGTCATCTAAAGAAGAGGAAAATGACAAGATCAGACAGGCCATGTCACAAATAGAGACAGTGACCCAACCTATCATACGTCCTTATCGCTTGAACGGAAAAGACACTACCACAATGAGTAGAAATTAATGTTTATCCATTAGTGGACAAGACAGGTCAAATGTTATTTACAAAATGACATGCTGAAAGAAAACTCATTTGGTCTGTCGGGACCCCATCTGATAGCTTATCAACACCCTTTGGTAGAGTTTCCACATCCTAGACATTGAAGAGAAACCTACAAAGACAGTAAATCACAAGTTAAACTTTGAAAACTTTTTTTTGTATAACCACTCATGCAGTAAATACAGAATTCCCATCCGAGTCGCCATCAAGCATCCATCCCATTAAAGGAGGCTAAACTTTAAAGAGGTTTTATCATAAGAAACCAAATTCACCTTGATCTTTTGAGATAACAGCTTGATGTACTGTGAAAACACACTAACGTTCAGAACTCAAAACTTCCATCCAGTTCCAAAAAGAGCATACATTGAAACTAAGCTATACAAACATCTGAATTTAGAAGGATCTCAGCTTTAGTACTGAGCAACTGAAGTTCCTTTTAAACACAAAACCTGATTATTTCAGTCTGATTTTAACAGTATGTGTGGAGCATAGAGTGCCGCACTCCATCTTGGGAGTTTGCATCGCTGTGGTTTCCTCAACAAACGCCAATAGGATTTTTCCATTGGCTTTTTCATAAACAAAAGTTTATGATTCTTACACATTGTTTATCAAGAACATTCGCAACTTTTGAAGCCTAAAAGTAAAAAAAAAAAAAGTTTGCAAGACATAAATACAACGAGGCTGTAAAAGTAGACTATATTGAATAGTCTCTGTTGTTAGCTGTTTTTCAGATGCGTTTTAAATTGTAGAATAAAATGTGAAAATATCTTGTGTTACCACAGACCGCAAGCATTAAACCAAAAAAACACTAAAAAGTCATTTTGTGAAGTCATTTAATATGCAAAGGTGTATTAAAGGTGCATCAATAAAACTAGGAAATTTACTAACTAAATTTACAACTAACAGTGTAGGAGAAAAACATCATTCAGAACAATGCATTCTCCTAGCTTGGTAATACCAAACTCTGCTACTTTGCTTCGCTTCGTAGACGTGGCTTCATTGAAAAGTGTTTTCTTTATCGCGAGGGGGCGCTTGTCTTAAGTATAAAATCATTGGTTACCTGTAATCCAATCACATAACGTTTGTTTGGTTATGCGCCAGCTCAGCCGCATCGAACTAAACCTGTAAACACATAATGCCTGGTTCAGATTGCACGATTTTGGCACGATCCGTTTGACGTAGGGTGTCGTGGGGATTCGTAAACGACAACGGGCATGAGTACGCTTCTCAGACTCACAAATTCTCTACATGAGAGACAATGGCCAGTGACCTGACTAAATTCTTCACGGCACATTCTGTTGAGTAACACCATTGCATCTGGACAAACGTTAGGGATAGTTGGCCCAAAAATTAACAGTTGACATTCTTTAAGATACTGTATCTTTTGGGTTCAGCAAAAAAAAAAAAAAAAGTAATTCCTACAGGTTTAGAACCACTTGGAGTTGAGTAAATGATGACAGAATTTAAATTTTTGGGTGAACTATCCGTTTAACCCAAAAAGTCTCTGATAGTCCAGCATTATCATGTCCCAGGTCTTAGCTGGAATCCTCATGCAGGGTAGACATGGGTAAATTAAGGTAAAGGTGGTCATTTTCTGCACCACTAGAGGCACCAAATGGAATTGTAAGATGTCTGAATGGCCTGATTGTACCCGACAGCAACAGCATTAGCTCAACCAATGGCGTGAGACTGATGGAGGCCCCCACCTAGGACTACTGTACCTGATTGTTTGAACAACTGCAGACCCTTTACCTTCATAATTCCATATGGTGCCACCAGCAGGGCCTGAAGTTAATTTTTTCGGCCACCGGCCACTGTGGCAGGTGGATTTAAAAATTCACCCGCCATAGAGACTTTTTACCAGCCATTTTTTTTTTTGCCTCATAAACGTAAAAAAAAAAAAACAAAAAAAAAAAACAAACAAACCCGGGAATTTCACAATATTGTTCTTTAACTTGTAAGAACACACATTTTAGTGCTGTCAAGTAATAATAACTCTAATAACATACATTTAAAAAAAATTATTTTTATTCATTGATTTTGACAGACACACACACACACACACACACACACACACACACACACACACACACAACATATATAGTATACTCAACAGATAGACCTACCGCAGCTCGTAAACAAATCACACGCGGCTGTGTTGATGGCGGATTTAGTCACGTACAGGTCTTACTCTTAACAGCTTTTAGTTACAGCGTTCAGGAACGGTTAAATATGAACTAAATTAATAATGTTATTACTGATAAAATTACCGGGTACCGGACATTTTCTCACCGGTTCCCAACTCCCAACATGCACAGTTGCACACGCACACACATCTGTGCAACTGTCATTGTACTTTAACCTACAACAGCGACGCGTTACATTATCTCATCCCATCTCATCAACAGTTTAATACTCGCACACGTAGTCAGAAAAAGAGCCTCATCTTCTTTCTGATCGCATGAACGTTACGAAACAACAGTCGCTGTCATAAATCAGCCGCTCACGAACCTTGCCATTGCCGCCGATTGTTCACTTTGTATTAAAATGTCTTCTTTACTTTTCTTTTTCTCATCCTCATCTTTTTGTTGGCTGTTTGTTTTGTTTCAGCTGGCCTCTTTACCCCAGTAATGTGCCGCCACATTTTTGCTAAAGTCCACCGCAATAGCGGACTTCGTTGAAATGTAAAAATCCTAATGAATCACTCAATTCTCATTGGCTACCCGCCAATGTGGCAGGTAGATTGACAGTGTTACCCGCCATAAGCAAAATTCACCCGCATTTGGCAGGTGGTCGGGTGTTAATTTCAGGCCCTGGCCACCAGTGGTGCAGAAATTAAATACTTCACCTTTAACACTTGCTTAGGCCCAAATGAGAGTAAAACCTGAAAGATGACACTCATTGACGCAAGGGAAAGCAAATTGCAAGTCTTTACCAACTTTTTTTCTCCAAAACTTAATGTGGCAACACATGTGGAATATTCCATTAAAGGGGATAGTTCACCCAAAAATGAAAATTATATCATTAATTATTCACCCTCATGTCTTTCCTAACCCGTAAAACTAGTAGTCATAGTCTAGTCTATACAGTATTTAATGCAATTACATCAGAAGTAACTGTAATTTACTAAATAAATAAGAGCAAACCCTTCCCTTACTTTACGTTTTCAATGGAAAAGTAATTAAATTACAGTAATTACTCCCAACATGGATTATATATTAGGCCTAAATACATTTCTCAATTCACCTGCCAATGGTAAGTAAAATGTTTTTTTTTTCCATTTTCTGTGGATTAAAGATAAAAGGACAAGGCTCACACGATCTGTTCCTTCCTGAAATGAGGAATTTCATTCAGTGGCGTGCTTTTCCTTAACATTGTATGAGCAAATGGGGTCCAGTGGAGTGGACAACCTGTACTGACAGGGTGACATCCAATACCTTGGGTGCCAGCGAATGTGTGAATATTAAAGTCAGGGCTAATTAAAGTACTGCAAAGCTGAGAGACCTGAAAAATCACACCTTCTCTGAATTCAGCCGTGTTGACACAGGGAGCAGACGTGGTGATGCATTATGATGAAATGTCAGAGCTACTGAAGTATTTGAAAGGACCAGCTTACTTTCAGCAAGTCACTCATGTCCAACTTTAAATAGGTTATATCATGAAAGATAAAGAAAAAGACTTAGCTGAAATGGCTCGCTCTGAACTATTGCACCTCCTGACATCAGGTAGATAAACATGACCACTCTCATTTACTCATCAAAGCCTATTTGGCCTTTACAATTTTTCAGTAAGGCAGTAAGAAGAAAGCATTATAATAAGCTATTATTTCTAAATAAAAAATGAAAATGTAAATTCAGTCAGTCCCTGGCTGTGTAGCACCTACAGCTCTGCATCTTCTCACAAAGGATCCCAGCATAAGGAAAGAGTGACTTGACCCTGATCATTACAGTCTGATCACATTTAAGCAGTAAGCAGAGATTAGTTTGTGAACAATAATGCAATTCATGCTTTGTTAAAGGAGAACTCTTGCACAAACCTCAACCTTTGGTCTAATAACACATTGGTACCTAGTCAACCTTTCTCTGAGATTTCTTTTCATGATAATCGAATGTAAAGAGTTTTATCTCTAAAAACTGTTTAGCGTATAACGCTAGTAATGGGCGCATTCATAACTTCATTCAACAAACTTCATACAGTTCAGCTTACTTGGCACGTCGTTCGTGGTAAACACGAAGTGGACTGTCTTTATGATATATATCTTCTTATTAAACGGTCTGTACACTAACAAAGTTCTCAATGCTTCGTTTGGAATGTAGGCACCCTCATTATGTTACTGTGTTAGTGTGGGGCTATTTTGAGCCTTGTTAGTGGTATAAACTAGCGAT